TATAAATCTTTATAACATTATACAAAAATTAGATTTTTCTTAAAAATTGAAATTTTGCCGGGAATGGGGCTTTAATAATTACGCCTTAAGAGTACCATGTAATCAATTTGTGAAAATGTTTCCTTCCACAATTCTAGTTATGCAACTAAAGAAATAGGCCTAGTGATTTTCTCGGGCTTACAGTATGAATATAAAAGAAGCATTTTAAAACGTACAGCATTCAATTATAAATTTACTGATAATTTTATATGGAAAATATAAATATGAAAACACATTTCCTTTATAATATTATTATAAATATGATCAGAACATACAGTATGGTAAATGGAAACGTAACAGACAAGAAAAAAAACGTATGCGAAACTAATCTATTGACTATGCTTATTCCATAAATCTTTATTTGATTCAAGCAGAATAATAAAAATTATATCAATATATATATATATATATATATATCGCAACAAACAATAAAAAAAAAACGTATCTCAAACTCTGTCAACTTCGTAACATCTACGTTTTCTGCAAAAAAATCAAAATAGCACCAAGTGATACAGTAATATAGTAACAATAATAAACTTTAATACTAATATAAAAATAATTGTTAATAAACTAATGTTACAGTAATTTAAATAACGAGTTGGCTGGTTTTTCCTGATAAAAAGTTCGGTCAACTTCGTAACATCTACGTTGTTTCTGTAAAAAAATTTAAATAGCACCAAGTGATACAGTAATATAGTAACAATAATAAACTTTAATACTAATATAAAAATAATTGTTAATAAACTAATGTTACAGTAATTTAAATAACGAGTTGGCTGGTTTTTCCTGAAAAAAAGTTTGATTTTTATAAATATTTGCTATGTAGTAGTAGGAAGCGTAGAATCGATAACAAAACGAAAAAAATAATCCGATAGAAAAGAGTGAAATGGTACTAGGAATGCAACAAACTAGAAAATGACCTATAAATACCATAATAATAATTGAAATTTAGTTTAGTAATAATAGTATTCAATTTATTTGCTTTTAAGTAGCCTATGTTGTTACTTAGTAGAAAGACAACAAAACATAAATAAAAAAAGTATGATAAACCAATTGACGAACTCACAATGATAATTAGGCCTAGTTATATTAAATTTGGCGTTTTCGCAACTCCATTGGCGCACCATATATTTGTTGAAAACAAACCGTGACCGAAACGAGGCGCGACCGAAACGAAGTGCGACCGAAATGATCTGTATTCAGGCCTAGGCCGCTAGAGTAGAGGCCTAGCTAGGCTAGGCTAGGTCAACTCAATGGATGCGGATTCTATGCAGGTGGTAGAGAGATTATTTCTTAATATAGTATGACAGTGTTATGCTAGGCTAGTTAGGAAGCGTAAACCTCTCTTTTCTATGAACGTGCTCTGCCTGCATAGAAATTAGTCGGTAACACTAGGCTAATAAATAACTTCAAAACAGTTTAACTGTCAGTGTCATTATATCTACATGGATGGTGGAATAGCTGCACAATTCTCATTTAAATTAACCCATTGTTAAAATACTAGAACTTGGCTATTTTTAACGTTTCCTGAACGTAAGATTAAGAAGAATCAAATATGTGTGTTTAGCACTATTTGGTGCTTTCTCCTAGGCATCCGACCAGTTGGTTGGAATCCAGTTTATCGAGTTTCTGGCCACTTTACCGAATCAAGTTCAATGAAAACATGATATCCCAGTTTGCCAAAACATGGTTTGCCGAACCCAGTTCGCCAAATTTTGTCATCACCGTTGTACAAAAGCACAGCACACTACTATTTTGAACTAAGTACATATAATGTAGTCCATCTACTATTTTTTTTGAACTATAGAATAATGAAAATAAATTTCAAATCTGCACTACTATACTAAGGCTTGATGATGTGACGAGATCCATTGGTTCCTCTGTCTTTATTCTAATATTAATGGTTTAAAGAAAGATTTAGGTTTTACGAGCGAATACTTATTCTTTTATATACAGTACATATATTATAAGTAGGTTCCGGGTAAGTGTAAGAGAGCATTCCATCATGAATTTTATGCTGCTTTTAATGTTTCACTGCTTTTAATTGACTTTCGGCAAACTGGGTTTGGCAAACTAATATTCATTTTTTTTTAGTCTGCAAACTGGTACTCAGCAAACTGGGATTCGGCAAAGTGGTCTTGGCAATCTGGGATTTGGAAAACTGGATTTCGACCATCTGACCATGATGCCATAATTAATGTAAAAGAGACAGTTTGCTGAATACACATGGTTAAATAATATTGGTTTTAAAACAAAGGATTGAGTCTATAAATTATCAACATTTATTTTCATTTCATTTTCACACTTCACAGCAATGAACAAAGTCCAGATGGTTGTAGATTTTTGAAAGTGATTTACTGACAACATTAATGGAATGTATGAAAACTATCGCTCCTCAAGAAATCTTGTGTTCACAATACAGATGATAAACAAATGAGAAAAATACTTTGAAATACTGTATTAGACTATATTAACGGAACATATGAAAACTGTCACTCATGAAATCTTGTGTTCACAATACGGATAATGAAAAAATGTGAAAAAATACTTTGAAATATTAAACTATATTAATACAAAATGGCATTACAAGAAAAGGTTGAGGAAACGGACAGACAGGAGATAAAGTACGATTGTGATCATTGTGGAGAAAAATTTGATTTACTTACTTTGAAGACACATTTGGGGATTAAGACTGAGGAGCCTGTACAATTTGAATGTGAACATTGTGGAAAAACATTCAAAAAGCGTTGGTGGTTGAAAAGACATTTGAGGGTACATACAGGAGAGACACCATATGAATGTGAACATTGTGGAAAGAAGTATAAAGACAGTGGTCAGTTGAGAGTACATTTGAGGATACATACTGGAGAGACTCCATATGAATGTACACATTGTGGAAAGAAATTTAAGGACGGTTGTGTATTGAGAAAACACTTAAAAATACATACCGGAGAGATGCCATATGAATGTGAACATTGTGGAAAGAAATTTAGAGATAAATATGAATTGAAACGACATTGGAGGGTACATACAGATGAGAAGCCATATGAATGTGAACATTGTGGAAAGAAGTTTAAATACAGTCACCAGTTAACAATACATTTTAGAACACATACGGGAGAGACACCATATGAATGTGAATATTGTGGAAAGAAAATCAACGATCCTGCCTTTTTGAGAAGACATTTGCGCATACATACTGGAGAGGCCCCATATGAATGTGAACATTGTGGAAAGAAATGTAGAGATAGTAGTACATTGAAACAACATTGGAGGATACATACAGGCGAGAAGCCATATGAATGTGAATATTGTGGAAAGAAAATCAACGATCCTGGTTTTTTGAGAAGACATTTGCGCATACATACCGGAGAAACCCCATATGAATGTGAACATTGTGGAAAGAAATTCAAGGACAGCAGTGTTTTGAAAAGACACTTGATGATACATACCGGAGAGACACCATACAAATGTGAGCATTGTGGAAAGAAATTTAGAGATAGTGGGGTGTTAAAAATTCATTTAAGAATACATACAAAAGAGACACCGTTTGAATGTGGACATTGTGGAAAGCAGTTTAGAGATAGTGGGGTGTTAAAAGTACATTTAAGAATACATACAGGTGAGAAACCTTTTGAATGTACACATTGTGGAAAGAAGTTTATAACCAGTTCCAGTATGAAAAGACATTTTAAGATACATACAAGAGGGTCCAAACTTTAATATGCATTTTTGGACGTGAACATTGGATAGCTGTTAACCAATTCAGGAGAGAAACCTTTTTAGATGGCATGTGAATTGTGTAAAGAAATTATAGAACAAAAAATATCTGGTACCTGAAAATTTTTGTGTTCTAGATGCCCGAAAATAATATTTGAGACGTTCTGGGCTATCATTTTTTTCTGTTTCTGATGGTACATTGATTGATTGATTGAATTTATTCGGAAAAGAAAATGTAAGAACAATATACAATGATTGCAAAATTCCTTTGAATTTCCCTCTTCGAACAGGTCTGAAGCGCCGTCGTCCCACGCCACGACGATTTAAGGGTTTCGAATGCTTATTTAATCGATTTTAGAGTCTACTTATGTTTTGTTCTTAAAAGTTATTCTCGTAAGTGAACACTCCCCTACGATTTCAGAGAAAAATGCTGCTGGTTATTTGCCAACATTTGTACTGTATAATTTTTTCTTGCTTGCTACAAAAGCACTATAAATACTGTAATCAGTCCCAGCAAGTCATATACACAATTAATATTCTAAAGCATAATATTGAATACTGCTACACCTGGGAATATAATTTAGAAAGACTTTTACAATTAACGATCCAAGACATAATGTATGACGCACTGTATTTCTATCAGTCGACCTCGGCCAAGTTGAATACGATACAAAGGGGCTGTGATAAAGGGGTACACGTCACTGTTTAGCGAATGTGGCTGTGATAAAGGGGTACACATTTTAGTGAATGTGGCTGTGATAAAGGTGTACACTTCACTGTTAATCGAATGCGGAGTGAGTTTAGCTTCCTTAGGAAATTTAGGCCCAACATACACACGACTATATGTATAATATAGACTGGTGCCAGGGTCTCGTGAATATCCACTTTCAAGGAGCAGTGCACGTCCTGCTTGGTTTGGAGATAGAATTAGTGTCCGGAGCATCTGATCTTGGTTGCTGGCTTCAAACTGGTTTCACCTTCTGTATCATGATTCCACCAGCACCAAAATCAACTTTCATTTAAAATCCAATATGGCTGCCAAATGTATTGCAAAGTCAGTGTGTTGTATTGGGAACATAAACACTCCTTACTCAATACATTCAGAGGCTCATTTGATTTTTACGGTAGGTATGTGGTTCAAAAATTACAAATTAGGCCTACTATGTTTTTCATTGGAAATCCAAGATGGCCGCCAAAATGGCCAACAAACGACCTTATGGGACATTTTTTTGCCATGAGAACATCAAAATTTCTTTCATAAGGCAATTTGAGGATTGCAAAAATTTAAGTTAAATAATACCCTGGGGTGTATGGAAGCCCCTTCATCCTACTAGAATTGATTTTGTTTCTAAGCTGTTTTTCCTGGTGCTCGGCCGTCATACACTACTGTATGTTAATAATAATAATAATAATATTTATTTGGCAAAGTATGTCTTATCAAGTTTATAACTAGTCTCATTCGCACAGCCACTGATATTTTCCACTTGACTCGATCTCAAAAGTCATATTTGTCTAGAACCGAAATAGTAAAAAGCACCTAATTATAAAAGAAGCAAACGTAATGTATTCGGTTGCCTTTTTTTCTTTAATCTTCTTTATGCTGTTTTCGTGATGTTGGTCCTTTTTGTCGTTTATTTTCAATGTAGATTGCTTGGATTTTTCCCTATTACTTTCGTGAAATTCAACCCCCTTAGTGATAAAGAATGATTTCATTTGATATGTAATGTCAAAAGGACCGAAAGGTAAAAGCACCAGATGAAAAAAAAGAGCCATACGTAATTTCAAAAGAGCCGTACATAATGATAAAAAAAAAGCCGTACGTAACGATACGTATTGGTAAAAAAGAGCCGAACGTAATGATAAAAGGGCCGAAATGTAAATGCGCCGAGCGAAAAAGAGCAACAGAAGACACTAACGGCGTTCCATAGCCACACTGTTGCCAACCATCGCCAACTGTACGGTACGGTAGGCCTATCGAAAACTTATTATTTTGAGATGGTTTATCGTAGAACTGTCGCTATATTCACGTGAAATATATGTGGTAAGATTCATAGTTTCTTGTATTATTAGGCCTGATAATACTGTATTGCGTCGTTATACCAGACAGGACCCATGAACAAAGGAGGTGAGCCGCCTACCGACGATGCAGTAGGCCTAGAGGCCTAGGCCCCTTCCTTAGGGGGTCATTGACTTAGCTGGGCTGAATATCGAAAAATGAAAAATAAAGTTAACTCCGAACTTAAAAAGTGCAAAAAAGATTATTTCGCAGATCAGTTAAATACAAAAAATTCAAAAACAATTTGGGATAATATCAGATATATTGTACCAAATAAGTCTAACAACTCTAATATAACTAATATAATTGTAATAATGTTAATGTTAGGGTTCCTGATTGTAGAGGTAATTATTATGGTGTAATTATTATTTTGTATTTATTCTAATTAATTAATGGAACATTCACTAATGGAACGTCCCATAAGTGACCAATAGGAAAGGGGTACTGCTGGACACCCAGGCCAAGCTAAACTAAGCTTATAGCATTTTATCGCTCTCTTTTGTTTACCCATTGAGGATAGCAGATGTGTACTTTGTTAAGCTGTCTCTTTTGTTACAATTCAGAAAGGTTAATTTGAGAATTGTATAAGGATTAAGAAGAAATGTAAGTAATTACAGTTACTATTACAATGTAATTCCTTAGTTGTATAAGTACTCTACTAGCTCATATTGAATACTGTAGTAAAATAAATTAGATATGCTTTTCTAATTGTTATGGCTTGATTAACAATTGATTTAAGTCTAATTGTTGAATTGGATGCATATATGAATACAGAAGGTGTTCTACTTAAACTATTCTAATGTCTATTTATATTCTTTAGTTAGTATTTCTATTTCTGCATTTTATTAAGCATTACTTTACCTATATTATTGGTAGAAGTAACTTATTGCAATCTCATAAGATAATAAGGATTAAATGTGTGGCTGGTTTAAGATGGCCGCCATTAGTATTGTATTAAGATTAAATGATTAGGAAAGCTCACCATATGGTGGCACTGTTTTATACTTTCCAATAGGTGACGCTGTTTGTTATTGTTTAATGGTGCCCAATAGGTGGCGTCCTATATCATAGATCATGTGACATGAATATTAATTATGTGTTTATGTTCTCATATTTTTATATTTATTATGTCTTGCACTATATCGTTATTACTTCTATAGATTATATTAACTATATGTATATGGTAAATCCTGAACAGAATACACTGTGTAATCACCACAAACTGGTGAGTGGTTATAATTAAGTGACCATTATATTTAGGAAGAGGTTATTCGCATGGTACCGTGCGAATTAGGAATAAGAACTTATTCGTACGGTATGACAGCCGTTACGTCATGAAACCTTAAATGCTGATTGGCTAGGTCTACCGTGCGAATAAGACTGATAAGAGCTAATTCACACGGTACCGTGCGAATTGTCGAAACAAATTTATTCGCACGGTAGAATGT